CAGCAGATGCTCTTTCAGCCGCAACCCAGTTCTGGGAAACACCCATACACACTCATTTTCACACACACTCATACACCACGTCCAATTTAGCTCATCCAATTCACCTATAGCGCATGTGTTTGGACTGTGGGGGAAACCGGAGCACTCGGAGGAAACCCACTCCAACACGGTGAGAACATGCAAACTCCACACAGAAATATCAACTGGCCAAGCCGGGACTGAAACCAGCGAACTTCTTGCTGTGAGGCGACAGTGCTAACCACAGAGCCACCGTGTTGCCCCTCAAGCAAAATATGTACTTTATAAATAATAAACTGCCAATACCGTAATAATAGGCATGTAATAAGCCACCTGTTGAGATTGGGAGTTGTTACCTAAATTGTTTAGACCTAACAAGGTGGAGTACTTTGTTTACTTTATTCCTACGTTATAATAATCGTGATTACATTCCTTCATTCATTCATTCATTCTTTTTTTTTTTTTTTTGACTTAGTCCCTTTATTAATCTGGGGTCGCCACAGCGGAATGAACCACCAACTTATCCAGCATATGTTTTACGCAGCAGATGCCCTTCCAGCTGCAACCCATCCCTGGGAAACATCCATACACAGTCATTCACACACATACACTACGGACAATTTAGCTTACCCAATTCACCTGTACCGTATGTCTTTAGACTGTGGGGGAAACCGGAGCACCCGGAGGAAACCCACTCTAACACGGGGAGAACATGCAAACTCCACACAGAAACGCCAACTGATACATAAAATGAAATAAACAAACTACAAGCATGGATGAATGCAATAAACTGAACATAATACAAGTGGAATAAACAGTGCTTTGTGTATTTAAATATAAAAAATACACTGCAAAGGGCGATACGGTGGCTCAGCACTGTCGACTCACAGCAAGCTGGATCGATTCAATTTCTAGGCATGCGCTATAGGTGAATTGAATAAACTAAATTGGCATGTGTGTGAATGAGTGCGTATGGGTGTTTCCTAGTACTGGGTTGCGGCTGGAAGGGCATCCGCTGCCTAAAACATGTACTGGAATAGTTGGTGGTTCATTCCGCTGTGGTAACCTTTGAAATCTAGCCAAAGAACAATGAATGAATGAATTATGAATCAGATTTTGTAAATGTGAACTGTGCTGTGCATTTCTGAATTTTAATTGGTAAATGTATTGTTTTTGAGACTAATTCGTCCCAATTACTCTTACCTCTCTGAATTTTTAGTATTTATTTAAAGTATTTAAGCCAAATACTTTATAAGTAACTGTAATTTAAGTCAGCTGCACCTTTAGAAGTATAAGAGTAAATGGTAGGGATGCACTGAAATGAAATTCTTGGCTGAAGCCGAAGCCGAATAATAATGAATTGCTTGGCCGAAGGCCGAATACCGAATGCGGTGTTTTGCATTTTTTTCCATTTAGTTTGCCAATTTTTTCACCATTACAATAATTAAATAGTAAAAATTATCTTTTTACTATTTTGTGTTGCTTTTCAGAGAAATAAATCAAATAACTAAAATACAATTTCAAAAATATTTATTTAACACTGAACATTTTTTTAACATTCCAGCAGATAATATACAAACAAAGCACAATATAACTTAAAATAAATAAATTAGTAAAATAAAAAAATATTTTTATTTGGCCATCTTTGAAGCCCCCCTTCTTGAAATAGCCTATGTTAGGCCTGTAACTGACTGCTGAAAGAATGTAACTGTATGTCTACAACAACAAATGTGCATTGAATGGTGCAAAAAATGTGGATAACAACAAATGAATAACTGTCCAAGACATAAGCCTACTTAGCCTACTTCTTCAGGAAAAGTGGCAGGTTCTTCTTTATAAAAAGTAGCTTCTCTGCTGTCTCGCATGAAAGTCGGTTCCTCTTCTCATCGATGACATGAGATGCAGCACTAAACAGTCTCTCGCAGTCGGTGCGCGGCTCATCCGTACTACGAGCCCTTTTACTCTCTGCGCTGTTTTCATCTCCTGCGCTGTGCATCACCTGACCGTCCGTCTCCAACAACTAGCGGCTTTCCCAAGTCCAACTCGGCCTGGATCATTTCTAGTGTGCGCAGCTTTTTGCCCATATCCAAGTAATGATCTTTTATATCGTGGATCAAGCACAGTCGCGATGAAGTACTGGTGTTCTGAGTCCGCCTGACTAAATCGTGCCCTGACAGCTTCTAAGAGTGCACTTTTAGCTGTTTTCACTCCGTGGTCGTACTGGTTTGTTTAAAAGACGCTTTAGTGCTGCAAGTAAATGTATGACGTCTGCCACAGATGAGCTTATCTCTCTTGTTATCTGCTCAAAGGGGGCGAGAAGACAGAGAACGTTCCTCTGGACAATTCAGCAGAACAGTGTCTGCAAACGGCCGTTTTTGCCTCTTTCTCTTACACTTTAAAGCGCTTCCACACTGCTGACATGTTTGCTGCATAAAGCGCGCGCCTCTCACTCTACGCGGGTTACTATTTGATCGCGTCATTAAAAACGTCATTGTTCGGCAAAATTTATTCGGCCTTTTTGCTTATTCGGCCGAACACCGAAAGGGCTTTTTTGACTATTTTCGGCCGAATAATTTCGGTTGCCGAATATTCGGTGCATCCCTAGTAAATGGTGGCGTGTTTAATACTTATATCCCTCACTGTACATAAATATACATGGCTGCTAATGAAATGACAGAAATTGTATATGATTAAGCACAGATGGTGAATTCTGATTGACACAGCAGCTGAATTTGATCCCAGACCCTTTGACTTATAAAAAAACACGTGTCTTCACACAGTCATGCATGTCAGGCCTTTCTTATACTCGTAATCCCCACTGGGAGGTTGTCTTTTTCACTGCGCGGCATCCAAAACCAATAAAACCAGGCAATTTGGAAGTCTTTCAGCATCAGCATTTGGATCTTTTACTTTGTTTTGTCGCCTTAAAATCACGTTCCTGCTCTCTTTTCCTCTCCCGGCTCTCATTTGTGTGCAGTAGGAGGCTGTCATAGACTTTTGCGTGGGCAAGCACCAGTGTAAACAAACCTGAAACATTGTTCATACCAGCTACATAAGCTGACTCACATCTGACACACCAATACCGTCATCTCTGCTCACAAGAGCTTACTGGAAAACTCAGCTATATAGCATTGAAATATTAATCAATAACAAGACAGTATTTTGGCATGAAAAAAGTGCTGTGTGAGGGATTAGACCTCCGATTCATGATTCACGAGTCTCTTTTGTTTAAAGTATGCAGTCAACTGATGTAGTGTAGTATAACAGGGAGGGATTGGTGATTTGTCAAATAAGTACACTTAAAAAAAGGTGTTTGCTTGTCTAAAATAAAGCTGAAACAATACAATTCTTGATGTTTGAGTGGGGGCAATTTAATTGTTTTATGTTAAAGCCACTTAAATATGTAAAAACTAATAAGTTCACTTAATTCCTTCATGATTTTCTTGCTCAGACGCTCATCAGTCATCTGGTGAAATTATACTGTACATGCAATATACACTCACCGGCCACTTTATTAGGTACACCTGTCCAACTGTTTGTTTGTGCAAATTTTCCAATCAGCCAATCACATGGCAGCATTTAGGCATGTAAACATGGTCAAGACGATCTGCTGCAGTTCAAACCGAGCATCAGAATGGGGAAGAAAAAGGATTTTGGTGACTTTAAATGTGGCATGGTTGTTGGTTCCAGACGGGCTGGTCCGAGTATTTCAGAAACTGCTTATCTACTTAGATTTTCATGAGCATCTCTAGGGTTTACAGAGAATGGTCCAAAAAAGAGAAAATATCCAGTGAGCGGCAGTTCTGTGTGTGCAAATGCCTTGTTGATGCCAGAGGTCAGAGGAGAATGGCCAGACTGGTTCCAGCTGATAGAAAGGCAACAGTAACTCAAATAACCACTCGTTACAACTGAGGTCTGCAGAAGAGCATCTCTGAATGCACAACTCGTCCAACCTTGAGGCGGATGGGCTACAGCAGCAGAAGACAACACCAGGTGCCACTCATGTCAGCTAAGAACAGGAAACTGAGGCTACAATTCACACAGGCTCACCAAAACTGGACCGTAGAAGATTGAAACATGTTGCCTGCTCTGATGAGTCTCCATTTCTGCTGTGAAATTCTGATGGTCGGGTCAGAATTTGGTGTAAATAACATGAAAGCATGGATTCATCCTGCCTTGTATCAATGGTTCAGGCTGGTGGTGGTGGTGTAATGGTGTGGGGGATGTTTTCTTGGCACACTTTGGGCCCATTAGTACCAACTGAGCATCATGTCAACACCACAACCTACCTGAGTATTGTTGCTGACCATGTCCATCCCTTTATGACCAAAGTGTCAATCATCTCAGACTGGTTTCTTGAACATGACAATGGCTTCACTGTGCTCTAATGGCCTCCACAGTCACCATATATCAGTCCAATAGAGCACCTTTGGGATGTGGTGGAACGAGAGATTCGCATCATGGATGGACAAATTTGCAGCAGCTGCGTGATGCTATCATGTCAACATTTGTATTAATCGCAGGCACTTTTTCCAACCTGTCCTCATAAATTCTTTTATAAGGTTATATTTATTTTATAAGTGATCAAAATGATGACTTTAATTGAAAATGACTTACTTTGTCTCATAACCTTCACTAACTCTTAGAGATTTTAGAGCTTTAGAAGTCATTAGTCAGTGGCTATTCATATTGCCCAACCTTGACCAGCAATTTGTAGGAGTGAGATTCATTTTGTGATTTGTTCCCTTGTTCGTGAAACCCTGCAGTCTGGATTCTGTATACGCCGTGCTTCTGCTGCACTTCTGGACTCTGTTTGTACCTTTAGTTACGTCTACACCTCACCACATGTCAACTTTAACAGCTACACTTTAAAAAAATTCTGTAAGTTAGCAGTTTTCTATATTTTGTAATTCATGTTTTCATTTATTTATGCTTTTGAATTGCATTATGGAAGCTTTATCTTTCTTTTTAAGGCTGAAAAGTTTGGAAAAGTGACATTCATTAACATTTTTAACAGTTTAAAGTGAGATCTTGTCTGGGTTAGTGTTGCATATTACAACACAAAAAGCTGCCAGTACATTTTCTCTTATTTTACACACTTTTTTTCTCTATATACAGTTGAAGTCAGAAATATTAGCCCCCCTTTGAGTTTTTTTTTCTTTTTTAAATATTTCCCAAATGATGTTTAACAAAGCAAGGAAATTTTCACTGTATGTCTGATAATATTTTTTCTTCTGGAGAAAGTCTTTGTTTTATTTCGGCTAGAATAAAAGCAGTTATAAATTTTTTAAACACCATTTTATGGTCAAAATTATTAGCCCCTTTAAGCCATATTTTTGCTCGATAATCAACAGAACAAACCATCATTATACAATAACTTGCCTAATTACCCTAACCTGCCTAGTTAACCTAATAAACCCAGTGAAGCCTTTAAATGTCACTTTAAGCTGTATAAAAAATATCTAGTCAAATATTATTTACTGTCATCATGGCAAAGATAAAATAAATCAGTTATTAGAAATGCATTATTAAAGCTATTATGTTTAGAAATGTGTTGAAGAAATCTCCTCTACGTTAAACAGAAATTGGGGAAAAGAATAAAAAGTGGAGCCAATAATTCAGGCCGGCTAATAATTCTGACTTCAACTGTATATTTTTTCTTATACATAATATTATTTCAAACGACTAAAATGTCAATAAAATTAGTTTGTTAAACGGTAAAGTTGATTTTTCGTCATCAAAAGTCGACAGAGCAGAGATCAACATCCCATAATGCAATTCACTACCGTAAATAAACGAAAGATGCAACACAAATTACAGAAACTGTTAGTAAGCACATATAAACCAATCATGTGCTGTTGTGTAAATTGCATTCAGTTTTTGATCTCATTTGCTCTTTTTTTTATCCCACAATGGCTGTTTTCTTGTGTCCTCCAAACAACATCATCAGTTGTCACATTACATTCCATTGAACATCCCAACCTGTCTCTTTATTTAAGGAATAGTTAAACCAAGAAGGAAAATTAAATAGTGAATTAGGACTGCACAATGCACTGTTTCAGCAGTGATATCACAACATCACAGCATCTTCAATAGAGTTAACTCTAGAGTTAATAGAGTTAAAGTTTCTCATCTGCACAAGAAATTGTAGCATTTGTAACTTAAAAGATGCATTTTATTTACAACCCCGAATCAGAAAAAAAACGGGACAGTATGGAAAACGCAAACAGACAAAGAAAGAAGTGATTTCTAAATTTACTTTGACTTGTATTTTATTGCAGACAAAACAACAAACATTATTTAATGTGTTCCTCATCATTTTTTATTTGTATTTTTTAAAATTTGATTTATAGCACAGTAAATACAGTACAATGATTCCACTTAAGAGTGTACATTTCCCGTTGCTTACCATTTTTCTTTTTTACAAACTATAAAGTAATAGAACACAATAATAAACAAAATATAGAAAATTATATATTATAAAATTATATATGTATATATATATATATATATATATATATATATATATATATATATATATATATATATATATATATTATTACCGCCCCTGTTTATTTTTTTCACCAATTTCTGTTCAATGGCGGGAAGATTATTTCTGCAAATTTCTTATTAAAGTTTTAATTTCTTATTAAAACTTATTTCTAATAACGGATTTATTTTATCTTTGACATGATGACAGTAAATAATATTTTACTTAATATTTTTCAAGACACTTCCATACAGCTTAAAGTGACATTTAAAGGCTTAACTAAATAATAATTAGGTTATTTAGGTGAACTAGGCAGGTTAGGGTAATTAGGCGAGTTATTGTGTAACGATGGTTTGCTCTGTAGATTATTGAAAAAAAAAATAGCTTAAAGGGGCTAATAATTTTGTCCCAAAAATTGTTTTTAAAAAATTAATAACTGATTTTAATCTAGCCGAAATAAAACAAATAAGGCTTTCTTCAGAAGAAAAAATATTATCAGACATACTATGAACATTTCCTTGCTCTTTTAAACATCATTTGGGAAATATAAAAAAAATAGAATAAAATCAAAAGGGGGCTAATAATTCCGACTTGAACTGTATATACACACACAAAAAGTTTATAAAAGAAAATATATGAAATACCAGTAACGAAAAAGTGGTAACATAAATAATATCAATAACTAAATATACATAGGTCAGAGTGGGTCACATCTTTATTCAAACAACTTTAGTTCAGATATTATCAACTGTAAATTTCTAATCTGAGGAGAGAATTGAAAAGGGGAGTGCAATGGGTCATACACTGAAAAAATGTTTGTTCTGTGGATACTAATACTATTATATTTCTACGTAGATTGGATGGAGCAATCTAATGTAATCCGTCCACTTAGACCAGATATTTCTAAATGCATTAATTTAGAGTCGAAGGGAGAATTTTGGCTGTTTTTTTGGCTGCGATTATTAAAATAGCGAGCAAGTATTTTTTAGATTAACTTAATTGTATATCAGAGTTCCTCTGTTCCAACCAGTAATACTCACTGACTCTTCTCAAATAAAGCTATTCAAGATATCTGGTGAAATTATACTCATATTTTGCAGAAAGAAAACATCCCCATGTCATATTTCTGCAATATCGTTCAGCCCTAATGCGAATCATTCAGGAAGATTGAGACTATTCATTTACCTCCCCGTTTTCTGTCATTCTGTCATCCAGGTTGCTGTTTCTTTTGTGTCATTTGTTGCCTTTTTTATTGTTTATTTCTTTTTTATGTGACCTCTTTGTTTTGCAGATGAGGGCAGAAGTGCGGTTGACGCAGCAGGTGGTGCTCAGATAGTTACCGAGCACATTAAGTCTCTGGCCGAAAGCACTGACCCGGCCACCGGGAAGCTCTTGACTGTCTTTTGTGGCATGCTGATGAACTATAGCAATGATAATGGTAATGGCCAATTCCCCCCAAAACCAAGAAGGCACGATTTCAGAATGGTCCCTTACTGGTATAGTCCGAGATGTTCACTCACTTCACTTATTATGAATGTATGAATCAATTCAACAAGTCATGGACGAGGCAGCTTTTAAGCTGTTTTAACTGTAATGCACAAGCTGATTTTCTATTTTGCGAGTTTAATGTGTATAGTAATAGCTAGTCAGAACATTATGGTTATATCTGTAAGGGACCATTCTATCGAAGCCTTTGTGTTGTTTAACTTATAACTTATGCTTTCTTATGCTGAATCTTTGCACCTATTGGATTTATGTGCCCAGGGGCTACATTTTTGAGAACCGAGAAATATGTACCAAAGGACTACGTCGTATCACGGTTTTTGTTTTCACATTTCAGAGGCCTCCGAGTAAATTTTTGATGCTCTTAACTATGTTCCAGCGGAACATTTTCTCATACTTGCAATTTCTCGTGAATCCTTCAGAGGATGCTGTGTACGTTTCCGCGTATCTTGACGTCCCTAACTTGCACATTTCATAGAGCATTTATGTTCATTAGCCTTTTAGGACACATGCCCACCCAAGTTTGTCCAATTTCACTTGCGCCCCCCCAGTCGAACATTGAGTATGTTTACATGGACAGCAGTACTTTAATACGATAAAAACAATACTCTGATTAAGAGTCTACTATGTAACCAGACATGTTTTAATACCTTAATCCAACTAAAGTCATAATTGAACTATGGAATCGAAATTAAGACGTTATACGTATATAAGATATTATATATATATTTTATAATAATATATAAAACAACACTTCTCCACCAGTCCTTACTCTGTACTCACACCCACAGTTTGTCATGCGGTCATGGATGAAATGTTCATGAGTAAAAGTGAAACTGCCGAACTGCAGTTAAAGTTGAAAAATTAAAGATAAAACAGCCAAAATTACATGAAACTGCAGAAAAACGTGGATAGCCTGGTGACGCAACATTTAAAAAGCACTTCACGTAAACACCTTATTTATATTTTTGTCTTATTCAGATTAATTGTAATACGTAATACATAATAATACACCAAAGACTATAGAATACACAAGACGTGTTACTTGTATAGTTTTGAATGGGGAAAAGTGTAACTGCCAATCTGGCAAATGAAGCCCCGCCTTCTAGTACAGGAGCCAATCATTGATCGATAGAGACTGACGATTCTACAAGAGAGGGGCTCGGACCAGACATGAGTTAATGCAGATATTTTTTGTGTGATTCGAATGTTTAGAAATGAGACTAAAGACACAGTTGTTGTTTAATTTCATTGGTGATTCCTAATTGAAAGCTTGGCAAGCAATTTTGGTGAATTTGATGTTTTCCCATTCAACCAGAATGCTCAAACGTACTGCCTGAGAGGCATTTCAAAGATGGCCCCAGAGTTAATGACTTGCCTTTTTTAGGTACTTTGGCCACACACTCCTTCAATAAACCCAGTCGATAGTGTTTTCAAAAGCAAGAAAGTAAATAAATTTAAAAAATACGATTTCTAGAAACACTCCATCCCAAGTCTTACGCCGTTTGTAACGAGCTACCAAGCAGACCCATCACATCCGAAAAGCTGTCCATATGGAGGCAAGTACCAGTACCACACTGTAGCATTTATTTTACCCACACAATGTAGCCATATGCATCCGCAAGCACATATTTCTCGGTTCTCAAAAATGTATCCCTGGGCACATTTTCCCAGTGAGCCTGTATTGGAATCTCATGTCTTTCTCTGATTTGATATGGTGGGTTTTCCAAATGGCTACGTCTCGCTTCTTTTCTTTGGTGACTTCATGTCCTTTGCAGTTGGTGGTGGTGTTAAATCGTAATAATGTCTTTAATTACTTTTGCTGTCTTTAAGTTGATTAGATTAGTAGAAGGGATGGGCCGGAATAAGATTTTGAAGTTATGATAACCTTGGATTAAAATAGCATGGTTTCACTGTATCAAGGTATTGCGATTACTTCTCTAAAATATATTCTTTTTAAATGTCTGGGTGAAAAACAAAAACTTTTTTCCCCTTAGAAAACAATATATCTTATTTTAGTGAAAGATTTAAAATATTTTAGAGCTGTAAACATGTCAGGCTAAATAATGAAAACGAATCATTGACGTCTGCTGTCTTCATTCATTTCAAAAACACAGATTTCTTTACAATTCAAAACGGCATCTTTGGATATCCTTTCTGCTGGAGATACTGTTGTCCAAAAAAATTGTAAATAACATTTTTTACACATACCTTAGGAACGGTATTACAAAAAATGTTGGCGGTTTTGAAACCTTGACTTTTACAAACCGCCGTATACCTTAAAAAAAGAGTTATCGTTCCATGCCTAATTAGTAAACTATATTAGTCTCCCAAAGGGCAATTAAGCTAGGGCTTTAGCATCATATGACACATACAAAAATAGTAACATGAAAACAATACAATGGTAAGTGAATTAAAACAAAGCGCAACAATATAAATTCGGTAGAAACAATTCAAATGTAAATACTTTTTAATAGAGCTGCACAATTAATCGAAAAAAGATCGCGATCTCGATTCGACCCCCTAGACGATCTTAATCCAGCATTTCTACGATTCTGTCAATCATGTTTTCAAGTTCAGGAGAGAAGCAAAGGCGGCTCCATGAGTCTTTTCATTGTTTCACACACGTTGCTCAGCGACATGAACACCTCCAAATTATGTTAAAAGAGTCACATACTGTATTTACAAGGTATAATTCACCCAAAAATGTCATTTTTGTCTTCATATAATGATGTATTGGTGGCCGGGAAATCACATGTGACGTGAGCTGCATATGAACCTGCATATGCTGTGAGTAACAGGTAATAAAGTTGTAAATAATATTCAGTTCGTGGCACAGAGTGATCGTTTGAGAGCCACACACAAAGTATGAACAGCACTTAGCAGTGAAATGAAACCGTAGGCATGCACGTCATTTAAATAATCATATCCCATTCTAGAGCTATTACTGCGACAAGCATTTGATACGTTTTTTCTTTCATAGCGAACACACAGCTGTGCATGAAAAAAAATGTTTACAGTGTCAGTATAACTACTCCAGCTATATAATGTTGATTTTACCAGTGAAGTAAAGGGTTTAATAATGTGATCAATGACCGATTGCAAGCATAGGCCTATATCTCAAACATAATTCAACATCAGAATTATTATAAGTAGAATAGAATTATTTATAGAAACCAGTAGACCTACACATAATACTAATATTGTCGTTTTACCATATGTTTGAGAAGAAACAATAATCTCATATAAGGGTGTCACGATTTCGATTTTTAATCGAAATTGATCGAAATTTATGCTCAACTTCGATTATCGAATCAAAAAAAAGAATCGTCGATGCTGCCACGCCCCCATGTCACGTCAGCTTGGCTTGCCAAGCAGGAAAAAACAGGCTTGTTGAAGTGCTTGTTAAACTGCAGACGCAGGAGACCCGTCGACAGAGCTTAAACCCTCTCCTCTTTCAATGAAGTCGGCGGTGTGGAAGCATTTTGGATTTCCAGTGAGTTATGTTGACAACGTTCGTGTTGTCGACAAAAAAACAAAACAAAAAAAAAACAGTTTGCAAGCTCTGCTATGTACGTATTACGGTTGGGTTGATAGACGATGGGCGCATCGCGATCCTCCGCCGCGCACCCGTTGCAATCCGCTCGCGAAAAATACACACTCAGGCCCTGTTTACACTGATGTGTCTTTGTTTTTAAATGGCATTTTAGAACGACAACGATCCACATCCACACTGGCGTGTAGCATTTCTGAGCAGCCCTTCTTCCTCACTACCGCTGAAAACGCACATCACGTGACCACACACACTCATTCACACAGACACAGACGCACACACAGACAGCGGGTCCAGGCAGTCAGCGGATCAGTAGACTGCTTCAATCTTTACTTTTACTCTTGTAATTAGTCATCTTAGCTAACACCTCAGATACTGTTGGCTGGTTCCTGTTGGTTGTGCGTCTTTTTTACCGACGCCATTATAACGACACAGATCACTGCCTATTCACGAGTCCCGCAAAAAAAAGTGATTGACAGGTGTTAATTATGTGTGTATCTTACCTTTATTCATTTACTGTATGATTTGTTTATGGGTAAAACAAAGACCATGCAAGTCAGGTAGTTTAAACGGTAGGCTACAAAAAATTTATTTGTCATTAATTAATTAATTAATTATTTATAATCGAAAATCGAATCGTGACTTTAGAATCGAAAATGTAATCAAATCGAGGATTTGGAGGATCGTGACACCCTTAATCTCATAATAAGCTTTATTATACATCTACAGAATCGTGAGAGAATCCTGATCTTTATTTTAAACAAACAAAAAAAAAAATAATCGCGATTCTCATTTGAGCCACAATCGTGCAGCTCTACTCTGTAATTTTATAATAGCTTTATAACTTGACTGTAAAGTGAATTAAAGAAAGCCTAGCATCACCCAGCTTTGTTTAGACTGCCTAAATAAGCATACCAGTGTTTTGATTGGTTCTGCATATTTGATTAGGATGAAAGAATGACATACAGTACCTTTTTAAAAGCACAGTTCACCCGGGATGCATAATAGGGACACATCCTGCAGTTTTCATGCTCTGGATCTCTTGTAAAATACTAGCCCAGAAGGTTACATAAGGCCTTGTTATGCAGCAGTGCAGTGCATTGTTTAATATTTAAGGCAATGCAGGCAGTGTATTTACATCTTTGTGACTTGATGGTCTTGAATAATTGATGGACAGGCCAAGCCCTGCTTCCTTCGCTCTCGTTTGCCAGGCAAGGCTTGAAATGGTAATAGCTTTTTTTTTTTTCGAGCTATAACACCTCGCATCCAGAGGCTAGAGCAAATCAACAAATCAGGTCAGGCGTATTCGTTCTTGCCGTCCTGATGAAAATAAATGGACGGATATGATTTTAATGGAAGCCAACAGCCAGCGGGCTGCTTAT